GTACTCCCCAGTGATCGATTATACTATTTTGCAAGGAATGAAACCGATTCAAAATAACGTTCCGGTTTGGGTTTCGGTTTTGCCAAGTGTTTCGGTTTCGGTTTTGGTTTCGTTCTTCAAAATTTATTTCGGTTTTGGTTTCGGTTTCGTTCCGGTTTCGGTTTTTCACAGAAATTTTGTTGATATTGTTTAAATCACAATGTCTTAAACCTTGAGGAAAGAAAATCGAAAATTACAGTTCACTGATAATATCAACACTAGGTTCTTTCCCTAACAATCCGGACCGGATTTGGTAATTAGAGAATAAGAGAAACATTTTCTTTCAAAAATGGAACAAAGTTCAGAAGTACGGAAACGCAAAAACCCACATTTCGTGCCCACAAGTCGAGAAACAGCTGATTCACGTTGTTCTTGTTTTTGTCACTTATACCATGTTCTGAAATTCCTTTCCACTTTGTGTTCCTTCATTCAGCTATCTTCGAAAAACAACTGATAGCTGGCAATGCTGCACATGTTTCCGCAAGGGTTGCAGCATGTGCATTTTTCGTTTTTCGTAGCGCAGCTACGAATTACGAATTACGAAAATTCGGGTTCTAGAATAAGGGGGATGGGTTTATTGGAAAATACAGCGTGCCACCATAGATCTTGGAATAGAGGTAAATGAAATCAACCCAAAACCTATGAAAAATGGGGTTATATGAAAAGGATCTCGTAGCCAGCTACGAGAGCTAGTGGTATAAGCCATATAAACTAAAATTCTGGTGACGCATAGATACCTCTGGATTTACCTAGAATACTGAGATGAGGCATTTTTCCAATGGAAATATGTACAGAAAAACGGGCGCGACACCTTCTGGAAAGTAACATGATCACAGGGTGTATCCTTAGAACCATGTTAAGCTAAACCTTGAGGGATTACATTACTATAAACAGTCAATTTTCACACAATTTAAAATGTACATGTGTATTTAAATATGTCATGAAAATTGTGTTGCTAGCTTCATTTTGCAAAAATGTTGCAAGCTTTTTCACAGCGTGAACAGAATACTACTTTGCTGAGGAAATGTTGTGGAATTTCACACTTATTTCACAGAAAGAAATTGTATATGCAATTTAAC